GGTGAAGCCACCATCTGTGGTGCCGGCATCCTATATGGCACTGGTTCAAATCCCTGCTGCTCCATTTATGATCCAGCTCCCTGCTAATGTGCCTGGGAAAGCAGCAGAAGATGACTCAAGTGCTTAGGCCACTGTACCCAAGTGGGAGACCCAGATGAAGCTCCTGGATTAGCTTGGCCCAGCCCTGCAGTCACTTGGGGAGTGAACCAGCAGATGGAAGATCCATTTCTGTCTCTCCATCTCTCTGTAATTCTGACTTTCAAATAATTTTTTAAAAGCTGCAAATCGTCACTCCACCACGTTCTGTTAGAGGTGGTCGCTAAGTGCCACTGTCCTCATGAGATTTCTATTGAAGGAGGGAATTTGTGGAAATCTTTCAGACCTACTGCAGAGGAGAATCCTCTCCCTTTTTAGGGCTCATTCCTCCATCCATGAGCTCTAACCCATCCTTCCCTCCTTGGACTTGGCTAATCAATTATGCTCTCTTCTAGTGTCTTCTTTTCTAAAACTTATTTATTTGAAAAGCAGAGTCAGAGAGAGAGAGAGAGAGAGAGAGAGAGAGACGTCTTCCATCCTCTGGTTTACTCCCCAAATGGCTGTAACAGCCAGGACTGGGTCAGGATGAAGCCAGGAGCCAGAAACTCCATCCAGGTTTCCCATGTGGGTGGCAGGGGCCCAAGCACTTGGGCCATCTTCTACTGCTCTCCTAGGCCATAGCAGAGAACTAGATTGGAAATGGAGCAGCTGGGACTCAAACCAGCGCCCAAATGGGATGCCAGGGTTGCAGGTGATGGCTTAACCCAATGCATCACAACACTAACCTTTCCTATTGTCTTTTTTTTTTTTTTTTTTGACAGGCAGAGTAGACAGTGAGAGAGAGAGAGAGACAGAGAGAAAGGTCTTCCTTTGCCGTTGGTTCACCCCCACAATGGCCGCCGCAGCCGGCGCACCACGCTGATCCGATGGCAGGAGCCAGGTACTTATCCTGGTCTCCCATGGGGTGCAGGACCCAAGCACTTGGGCCATCCTCCACTGCACTCCCTGGCCACAGCAGAGAGCTGGTCTGGAAGAGGGGCAACCGGGACAGAATCCGGCACCCTGACCAGGACTAGAACCTGGTGTGCCGGCACTGCAAGGCGGAGGATTAGCCTAGTGAGCCACGGCGCCGGCCCTCCTATTGTCTTAATAGTGGGTCCTATTCATTGAGCATTTACTATGTCGTGGCCACCATGCCACACACTCTATGTGAATAACCTCACTCAATACAAGCAGTAACCCAGTAAGGTCAGAGAATCATTATCCCAGTTTTTTGAAATGAAGAGGCCAAAGCTCAGAGGTTTAAGAGAGACGTCCAATGTCACATAATTAGAGAGTGGAAAAGTTCCTGTTTGAACACAGCCCCGACTGACTGCATAGCTATGTCTCTCCTGCACTAATCTGTCCTATACCCTTTCGTTGGTACCTTGGATGGTGCCTCTCATCTGTTTCTTCCCCTTAGCCTTCAAACAGGCTGAAGTCATTGTCGCACAAGAATGGCCTCTCCTTGAATCCTGCCTCATCAAGTCTTCCCACCGCAATGGGCTTCGTGCCATTCTCGGAGTGTTCCCCTCCCCAGCCAAGCTCCACTGCCTGTTTGTGCAGCCCACGGCCACCTAGCACAGTCACTGCCTGTCCAGTGATGTCCCGGAGTCCGCTCACTGAGGACTTCCTGCCTTCTAAATGCAGGGCTTTCTTTTCAAACCACTTTCTGCTGTCTTTCGTCAACTCCGAGACACAGGTTTCAATGCGTCTGAAATCCAGAGGCCTTCAAATCAGTGACCTGAGACTCTGTTGTGGGGCGCACCGACTAAAACACAGCGAGGCTTGGAGATCAAATTAGGAGTCTATAGCCAGCAGGTGACTGCCTTTCTCACCGAGCAAGTCCAGAGAAGACAGCCCCAAGTTGCAGTAGTGGGGCATTTTTAAAGGCAAAAACCACATTCTGTTATCAGCAGTTAATTGCGCAGCTGGGTGAGCTAGCGGGAAGCAGCTAGCCAATCAGCAATCAACACCTATTCCCGCCTGAAGTCAGTGGCTGCGGCCGGTGTCCGGCACCTGAAGTCCTCCGGTATCAAAGGTTTCCTTAATGTTCGAGCAACACAACCCCACACCTTTCCTTTACTCTGACTGGCTTGAGGTCTTGCATTTTTAGAACACCCCACCTTGTCACAATCTAATAAAGTCTTTTACTCCTTGTTCCATCTTGCACCATCGCTCAGTTCTTTCTCCTGGAAATTGCACCTGCAGTGTGGATGTCCCTGCCGGCAGGTTTTTCTCTACACCCTCTGAAAGCTCCACTCCAAGGTCCTCATGGGCCTCCCCTCCCCCAGTGACCCTCAGATGGTGGTGTAGACAGCCTGGCAGAGATTCACTCTTTGCTTTGTGCACTCCTGGGAAGTATAATACAAACCCTGCACCCTCCTGACGTCTGCCCACTGCCAGCTGAAAGCTTGAACGGATTGCCGCTCTCCCATGTGTCCCACAGGTGCCTCCTACTGGGTGCATCCCAAGCACTGATGTTCTTACTGTACTCACTTAGAATTCCTAATAAGTACTGTTGTTTGTTGATGAATTTGTTATAGATTAAAAAAAAAAAAGATTTATTGAAAGGCAGAGTGACAGAGAAAGGAGAGACACAGAGAGATCTCCCATCTGCTGATTCACTTCCCAAACCCGTGCAGCAGCTGGGGCTGCACCAGGCTGAAGCCAGGTGCCAGGAACTTCATTCTGTCCTCCCACAAGGGTGGCAGGAGCTCAGATATTTGGGCTGTCATATGCTGTCTCGCAGGTGCATTAGCAGGAAGCCGGAATGGAATTGGAGTAGCCGGAATTCAAACCAGGCACTCAGACACGGGATGTGGGCATCCCAAAGCAGTGGGGTAGCCCTCTGCACCACAACACCTGCCTCTACTCTATGTGTCTTTCATCAGTGGTTTACAGAGCCAGACACCACGTGAAAGTAGTCTCCCCTTTATTAATCTTTACTTATTTATTTGAGAGACAGCGCTATCATCTAATAGTTCACTGTTGAGATGCCCACAGCAGCTGGGCTGGGGCCAGGGCCAGGTGTCAGGGACTCCACCTCTTTGGGCCATCACTGTTGCTTGCCAGGGTCTGCACTGGTGGGAAGCTGGGATCCAGGGCCAGGCACTACTTTTGTCGGAGTGTCTGCAGGTCACATCAATTTAAAGCATAGGAGACGATCGTTCATAAACGAGCAGCACCAGTTACACGCACGTTGTCTCCACACAGACCAGGCTGGGTTTACAGAGAGAACCTCAGTTAGTGGAACAATCAAAGGTTTTTCCGCGTTTGGCTGTGCGGATCGGCACTCCGGTCCTGAGCAGGCTGGGTTATCATGACGGGAGACAGTTTCCGTTCTTTGTGTGTGTGTGTGTGTGTGTGTGTGTGTGTTTTCCCAAGAACTCTTGTGATTTCAGCTGTGGAACTGGCCGGCAGCAGGTTCAGCTTCAGCATTGGCTGTCCCTGACCTTTCTTTGTTACCTTAGGTATTCATTATAACTCCTCACTGCCCTCTTGTGGTCAAACTCAGATCCACGTTGACTCGGGGTGACCACCGGGTTGGCAGCGCGTGTCTTCATGCAGTGTGGTCCACAGGAACGTCACTCAGCTGCACCCCGGGGCGGGGCAGGGGCTGGGGGGTTGCTCAGGAGGCCTGAAGATGATCATGAATGCAATAACAAACATTTGGAAGCCACTTTGCATCCGGTTTCCTAGCTGGCCTAGACCTAACCAGGAAACTAGTGTGCTCTCTCTCTCTTTTTTTTCAGTCAGAGTTACACAGTGAGAGAGAGAGAGAAACAGAGAGAAAGGTCTTCCTTTTTCTGTTGGTTCACCCCCCCCAAATGGCTGCTACAGCCGGCGCGCTGCGCCGATCTGAAACCAGGAGCCAGGTGCTTCCTCCTGGTCTCCCATGGGGGTGCAGGGCCCAAACACTTGGGCCATCCTCCACTGCTTTCCCGGGCCACAGCAGAGAGCTGGACTGGAAGAGAAGCAACCGGGACAGAATCCAATGCCCCAACCAGGACTAGAACCCGGGGCGGCACAGGCGGAGGATTAGCCTAGTGAGCCGTGGCACCAGCCGTGTGCTCTTTTTATCTTCTTTTCCTCGGATGGCAGCTAATGGGGCACTGGGGTTCAGCTAAAACCTGCAGACATGCTAGCACACCCTTTAGAAGAGTCCCAAGTTGTACGGCAAAAGCATCTGTTGGAACAACTGGCAGCCGTCGCATGTGCTTGAGTTGGGCTAATCTTGGAGTGCAGACAGCTGAGAGGAGCAAAAGGGACATGACGGCCATCTTACGATTAAGCTTGCCACCCCAGAATGACAGCAGGAAACAAGTCACTAGCTGCAAGCCCTCGTCACAACGCTTAATCAGAAAGTCCTGACTGGAAACTGCCTCCTGTTCTGGGAACAGCTATCTCTGCAGCTGGGTGTATTCCCAGTGGGACTGGATGTCCGAGTGGTAGAATCCTTAGCACACCCACCCTGGGAATCATGAATCCTCCAGTCTGAGACCAGTGCTTGTGGTTCAATGCACTTGAGATGACCTTGCCAAGGACGATGTCGTGGTGTCTTTCCCAGCACACGCAGGCTCCTGGCTTTAGATCCTGCAGCTTGGTGTCTGATGGCATCATTTTCAAATCGCAGCTTGCACCTGCTGGGCATGTGACCGTGTGCCTGATACTGGTTTCGACAACAGCTGAGAAGGATGGGACGTAGCGAAGTCCAGTCTATTGGTGAAGGAGGTGGTTTGAGCCACATGGGTCTTCTAAATGCATTTCATATGGAGACAGTTTGAGGTTCTGGGTGCATTATGTTTTCATTAGGATAAAGGATAGAACTTTAGGACAAGCCAGATTGAACTTCTTTAAAAATCTGCACGGTTTTAATTTTGATATTTTGATTGCAATATCATGGGCTTGTTTTACCTTTCTAGAACTCTGGGGAGAATGTGGACGATGGAGTTCCTGTTCTATTTGAAGGTTCTACAGAGTTCCTTAAGTATGGCACCCATCAAGTGAGTTCTTTGATCCACATGGGAGGAAAAAAAACTAGGTATTTTTGGTACATTTAGTGCATTTCCTGTTAGCAGAAGAAAGCTTTTATCCCAACCAGAAAACGTTTTAGCTGACACATAAGAACTGTTCATATTTATGGAGTAGAGTGTGATGTTTTGATGCACATTTACATTGTAAAATGGTCAAAGCAGGATAATTAGCATATCCCTAACCTCAAGTATTTATCAATTCTTCATGGTGAGAATCTGAAAAGTCCTTTCTTCCAGCTAGTTTTATTTTTTTTTTCAGTTTTTCTGTTGCTTATTTGCCTCTTTTGTGTCTTTAATTCTCTTTTCTCTTCTTCTTGCAAGTGTTTCTTTTTTTTTTTAATAAAGATTTATTTATTTACTTGAAAGTCAGAGTTACACAGAGAGAGGAGAGGCAGAGAGAGAGAGAGGGGAGTCTTCCATCCACTTGTTCACTCCCCAATTGGCCGCAATGGCCAGAGCTGCGCCGATCCGAAGCCAGGAGCCAGGAGCTTCCTCCAGGTCTCCCACACGGGTGCAGGGGCCCAAGGAATTGGGCCATCTTCCACTGCCCTCCCAGGCCACAGCAGAGAGCTGGACATGAAGTGGAGCAGCCGGGTCTCGAACCGGCACTCATATGGGATGCTGGCGCTTCAGGCCAGGGCGTTAACCCACTGTGCCACAGCGCCAGCCCCCCAGCTAGTTTTAAATCTATAGTGTAATTATTGTTAACTATATGTTATCGTGTTTTATTGTTAAGTGTAGGCCCAGGACTATGCAGCAGAGCACAGACCCCACAGTAACCCCACAGTGCTCCCGTCTCTCCCCTCGTGGTCTCGGGCGGTGACTGTTCTAGTCCCACTTTTCTGATGTCCACATAGGAGCGGGATGATGCAGGATCACTCTAGTTCACGTCTTCTAGGTTCACCCATGCTGTCACAGGTGACAGGATTTCATCCATTTAAGGCCGAGCAGTATTCCACTGTAAACACACATGCCACGTTTTCTTTATCCGTTCACCCACTGATACACACTTAGGTTGCTCCCATATCCTGGCCCTTGCAAACAATGCTGAAACAGACACGAGTGCGTGGATGCCTTTCTGACACACTGACTTCATTCCCTGTGGTCATATACAGACACCCGGCGGTGAGCGGGCTGGGCACTGTGTGCCTCCGTGTGTGATGTTCTGACGAGCCTCCGTGTTGTGTTCCGCAATGGCTGTCCTGGGTTACACTCCCAGCCACAGTGGGGAGGGCTCCCTTCTCCCCACGCCATCACCGACACCTGCTGTCTTTTGTCTTTTTTAATAACCGTCCGTCTGACTAGTGCAAGGTGCTCTCACACGGTGCGTCTGACTTGCATGTCCCCTCGAATATATTTAAAGTATTGTCAGTTGTGCAATAGAGCAAATCCACTTACGGAAGCTCAAGTGATTGTTGAGGTGGGCTCTCACGATTCTCGCTGGCTTTCTATCCCGGAAGGCAGGGAGGGTTCAGGCCCTGGGTGAGGCTGGAGTCCAATTCCCTCACCCATCGTTCGTGTTTTGGTCCAGTCACCCATGGCACAGCCCCAGGGAGCCCCATTAATAAAGGTCCGGAGATGCACCTGGCAGCCCCCAGGCACCCATCTGGGGAAGTCCCACATCCGAAGCTCCACAAGAAAGTGTTCGTCTATTTTTTTTTTAATTTAATTTTTTACTTATTTGTGAGACAGAAAGAAACGGGCAGATAAACAGGCTCTCATCTGCTGGTTCACTCCCCAAATGTCTACCATGACCAGGGCCGGACCAGGCCTAATCCAAGAGCCCAGAGCTCAATCTGGGTCTCCCAGGAGAGTGGCAGGGGCCCAACCAAGTGAACCATCATCTGCTGCCTCCTAAGGTGCACATTAGCAGGAGGCTGGACTCCAAAGCTGAGCTGGCACTCTGATATGGGATGCAGGCATCCCTTGTGACATCTTAGCCACTCTGAAATGCCTGCCCCAGACCACTGTTTTAACAAAGCTTCCAAACCGATGACATCACACTGAGTAATGTTTCTTACAAGAACAATCCTGGGAAATCAGCAGACGCTGCCTGTTCAGCAGAGATGGCGAGGGCACTCCCTTCAGCCTCAGACGGGTGATTTTTGGTGTGTGCTCCAGGTTCTAAGTGATGTTGCTTTCAGACGTCGATTTACCTCTAATGAGTCATCATTTCATTTTTCGTTTTTGATTCAGGTACCCAAGAAAGTGAGTCAACTCAGGGGCTTTTGTAATACGCCAAACATCTTGAACAAACTGAAGACATACTACTATCAGTGAGCAGTTGTGAACTCTTAAATCCTTCTTAAATCCTTAACAGGTGGCGTAGTCTCACTAAGGGTCAGAGTTCAGGATCACAGCATGTGCATCACGGAGGGTTCCTGGATTACTTTGAAGATAAGAAGCATGAAAAACTATGTCAGCACTGGCCGAGGCCAAGGTAGTGAGGGGCTGGGTAAACTTGCTTAGGGTGCTGTGGCTGCCCATCAGCTGGGAGGCGAGGAGATGTAATTAAAGACAAGCTACTGCCAGTGGGTGGTTATTTTAATAATGACGTAGAACATGGGAGGCCGGTCCGCGCTGGAGAAACCCGCGCTCTGCAGGACTCCCTGAAGGGGGTAGCCGTTGGTTCTGAACTTCCTGTTTGGGTGCAGACCACGTGCAGACTCGGATGACTGTCCCCGACGGTCTCCCCAGAAAAAGCAGGCGCTTCCCGAAACACCGCACCTGGCCTCCTATGCCAGTGGGTGTGCACAGATGCCTCCAGGGCCACAGCTGAGCTCTGGGTCCTGCTCCTGCTCTCGGCACACACCTGGGCCCAGGCGTCCATCCACCTGCGGCAGCAGATGCAGGGGCACCCTCATCCTCTCTGTCTTGTTGGCGCAGATGTGAGCTGATGATCACACGTCTCTCCATTATGTTAGAAACAGGGGTAGCTAGGGGAATGGGGGCGACCCCTCAATATTCACGGGCAGGCAGGTGCTTTTTCTGTCACTAGGGCTGAGTTGACTGAAGCCCTGTCTTTGCAGACAAGGGGTGAAATGCACAGACCTAACAGCACTTTTTGGTCATCCGTTCCCTGCTGTCAGTAAGGTCTGTGGGCTTCAGAGGTAACTTCCTTGTAAGGAAGCACAGAAGAAAATGCACGTATTCTGAGCTTCTCCAAGCCCTACCTGGAGGTTGGGAGAGGCAGGGGGTCACAGAAGCAGTTCTAAGGCTTCTTCCCACCCCTCAATACAGGACGTCCAACGTCTTGCAGATTTCTCTCCCAACATTTCTTTTCCATTCCAGCGAGTGCTTCTCCCTCAGGGCCCAGAGTCCTACATCATCATGGCCACCAGGTGGCAGCACAGCACCAGCCGGCACAGGCTTCAACCCGGGGTGGGGGGTTCTCTCCAAGAGTGTGACCCAGAGTACTGCTCTCTCTTTGCGTCGCAATGAGACAGTTCCCAAACAGTTGTGAGTGTGTGAGTGAGTGTGTGTGTGTGTGTGTGTGTGTGCGTGCGCGCGCTTAGCGGGTGATACAGCTTGTTCAGCCCTTGTCTCTGTGTAGGAATCAGACCGCAGTCCCCTGAATGCCAAATCCGAGCCACGGCCCCCTGAGCGCTGTCAGTCGCCCGGCCCTTGTGGTGACAAAGGCTTGGCTGTGGGAATAAGCCAGACTGCGGGAGAGCCTGCCCTCGGCCACTCACTGGCCGTGAGACTTCGGGCACTTGGGCCTCTCAAAGCCTCTGCTTTCCCACCTGTAAGTGGTGTCCAGTGCCTGGGCAGATGCACGCATTGACCCTGGCCCGTGGCCTGCAGTGCGTCCGTGTTGTGCCCCCCGATCTTCATTAGACCGTGAGCACCAAAGAGGTGAAACGGTTATCCGCGGGCCTTGCTGGTGCCAGGACCTGCCATTCTAATTTCTCCTTCGCTTTCCAAATTTTCTGCGGCAGACATGTGTTGTTTTCCGGTCATATAAAGGGGGGGACTCAGGTAGAGTCAGTGCCAGGGCTAACTCTGGAGAGGTGCGGCGCTAGGGGGTGTGACATTGTGCAGCCTCCACGGACCTGCGTGGTGGCAGCCCCCGCTCGGCACAACCTCCGCCTGCAACCCATGGACGCCACAGCGTGAAGCCCAGGAGGCCAACGCTGGCCGGACGGGCGTGTTGTTTCAAGGTTCCCGTGTTGTTTTCGGAAGTAGGAAGGTGCACACTCTAAAATAACATCCACAGTGTAGTGTATTCGTTGGCGAATATGCCCACCATCGTTGTCAGGCGTGGATGTCCGTGCCGTCAGTCCACGTGGCTGGCAGAGCAGTGGGCTTGTTGACAGCACAGTGACAACATCACGAGGAGGCAGGAGTCTCTCAGCTGCAGCGCAGTCATGCGGGGCCACCCACAGCCGTCGCTGATCCACACACAGTGGTGCAGCAGGTGTCATATGTGATTCCTGGAGCCGGTTCCTTCTTGAAAAATTTTGTATATTGTTTTTATTTATTTGAAAGGCAGACACAGAGAGAGAGAGAGAAAGAAAAAGATATCTTCCATCAGCTGTTTCACTTCTCAAATGCTTGCCACAGCTGGAGCTGAGCCAGCCCAAATCAGGGGCCTGAACCCATCCGGGTCTCCCACATAGGAGGCACGGACTCAGGTACTTGAGCCATCACCTGCTGCCTCCCAGGGTGTGCGTTAGCAGCTGGAACTTGAAGGCAGGCACTCCGGTGGGAGATGCGGGTATCCCAAGCTATGTCTCAGCCACGGTTTCAAATGCCCACCCTGGGCCCAGTTCTTCATGATTGCCCTGAAATGTTCAAATACTTTCTTCAAAATTTTTATCCATTGCTTTTTATTTCTTTGAAAGGCAGAGGAATAGAGATGGAGATCTTCCATCTGCTGGTTTATTCCCCAAATGCTTGCAACAGCCCGGAATGGGCCAACCTGAAGCCAGGAGCCCCAAACCCAGACGCTTTCTCCATTGCTCAAAGAGTTCCTGAGCAATCCCGAACCTTAAATCCACCATCAGACAAGCAGCAGGTAATCCAGGATCGCTTTCTGAGCAAAATCTCCTAGGTAATCGCTCAGGCTTCCCCAGTGTAAACCAGCATTTTTTTTTTTTTTCATTCCAAGATTCTCTTTTCTCATTGAGCTGTGACCTTGAATCCTTTTACCAGATTAATGGAGTCTTCTCCAGCCCCTCCCGGGCCAGATCCCTGCTAAACTGCCGAGTTGGCTTTAGGCAGGTGTCCAGAAAGCATTTCACCGGCACTCCCTGAACCAGGTGGGGAGTGGGGAGGGCTGAGTCCTTAGGCTCACATCAGATCTTGCAGTACTGGATGAGAACCCAAGGGCCAGGCTAACCTCGGAGATATAACGAGATTACGCAGGCAGCAGACGCTTCCAGGGGGGTTTGCATGAAACGCATGGTGAAGAACGTGATTGTTTTTTACACGCGTGTTTCTGCTGGTACTTGTGGCCGTTTTTCCCATTTGGCTCCTTTGATCTTTACTTTGCATCAGTGACACTGTCCAGATTTCCTCTCGGGAGGACAGGCACTACCCACGATACATCAGGGTTTCGTCTACAAAAAAAAAACAAAAAAAAAAAAAACAAAAAAAAACAAAATAGGAGTGGGGCCTTTGGAGCAGCAGCCGAAATGCGGATTGGGATGGCCAGATCTCACACTGGAGTAGCTGGATTCAAGTCTCTGCTCCGCCTCGATCCCAGCTCCCTGCTAATGTGCACCCTGGGTAGCAGCAGGTGATGTCTCAAGTACTTGGGTCTCTGCCACCCACACAGGAGACCTGGACTGAGTTCCAGGCTCCTGGCTCCTGGTTTCGCCTGGCCCAGCCCTGGCTGTTGCAGGCATTTGGGGAGTGAATTAGCAGATGGAAGATCTCTCTCCTTCTCCCCCCACCCCCTTCAAATAAAATGAAAGCAAATAGAAATATTTTTCAAAACATAAAACCAAAACAGATGGCATTAACCCTTAGCAGCTGACATGACTGGTTCCTTCCTCACATCATTGATGAACCTGCGACTCTTTCCAGGCAATTTGAATCAGAACAGGAGTCCAAAGATGATCACACTGAGCCACTCTGGGGTGGAGGCCCCCAGAGGCCCAGGAACCTCCTCGTGGCCTCGTGTGTACACAGCCTGGACGCGCAGCTCTGCCTCTGAGCCTGCAGCGCACACCCAACCTCCACTGAAAACCAAGTGATGCAAATCTCCTCCCCAAGGCCAGTGCTGTGATTTCAACGGCCACTGAGGCTCCGCCCACACGGGTGGGTGTGGCTCGGTGTGCTTCCTGTCCACCAGGCTGGGACACAGCAGGACACATGAGCGCTGCTGTGAGCCTCCAGGAGTGCAGGAAATACCTCTGCTTCCTAACTTAGGGGAAAATGATTTATTTATCTTCATCCATTTGTCTTTTTTTTTTTTTTTGACAGGCAGAGTTAGACAGTGAGAGAGAGAGAGAGAGAGAGAGAAAGGTCTTCCTTTTTCCTTTGGTTCACCCCCCTAGTGGCTAAGGCTGGCGTGTTCGATCTGCAGCCAGGAGCCAGGTGCTTCCTCCCCGTCTCCCATGCAGGTGCAGGGCCCAAGTACTTGGGCCATCCTTCGCTGCACTCCCGGGCCTCAGCAGAGAGCTGGCCTGGAAGAGGAGCAACCGGGACAGAACTGGCGCCCCAACCGGGACTAGGATTAGCCTAGTGAGCCACGGTGCCGGCCTATCTTCATCCATTTGAACAGAGAGAGACAGAGATCTCCCATCTGCTGCTTCCCCAGGTGCCGCAGCAGGGCCAGCTCCACTTCTGACTCCACCTTCCGGCTCATGGGCACCCTGGGGGACAGCAGAGGATGGCTCAAGGACTTGGATCCCTGCCACCCACGTGGGAGACCCAGATGGAGTTCCCAGCTCCTGGCTTTGACCTGACCCCAGCCCTAGCTGGTGTGGGCGTTTGAGGAGTGAACCAGCTGATGGAAGATCTGTGTGTGTGTGTGTGTGTGTCCCTCTTTGTCACTCTGCTTTTCAGATAAATAAAATAAACCTTTAGAAAAAAAAAAAAAAAAAACCGGAGCTGGGACTTGAACCCAGGCACTCTGATACGGGATGTGGGCCACCCAAGCAGCAAATTAACTGCTGCACCAAGCAGCTGCCCCATGTGCTTTATAAATCACCCAGTCTCAAGTATTCTGTTGCAGTGCAGAAAAGGAACCAAGGCCGCCAGTACTTCTGGGTTGCCAAACGTGCCCAGACATGCCTACGCTGAGAAGCACAGGCTAGCTCACGCCTAGAACCCGGGTCAGGGGAAAATTCCAGCAGACAGAGTGTGCTCCTGGCTCCTAGCAAGGAGCTGATTTGGGAGAAATTCCACTCACTCAAAGATGAGTCAGCACTAAGGAAGCCACGAGGACCTCTGCAAGCCCAGGAGGGAACAGGAAGGGAAGGTGCAGGCTGTCGCCTGGAAGCTGCTGCTGCTGCAGTACAAAGGTCGCAGCCAGGTGACTGCCAGGCACTTAGTAAAACCCACTGGAGCATCAGAAAGGAGCCTGTGTTGGGGATGAGGTGAGAGTTCTGGGCTGAGGGGAACAATGCTTTCTTTGGGAAGGAAAGTAGCAGCCTTGCAAGCAGCCCAGTATTTCACTCTTCAAGCCGCCCCAGGAGACTTCTCTGCGCTCAGCACCAAATGGGTTACCCAGCCTGCTCATAGCCTGCCTGCAAGGAAGGCGCCCTAGGGGAAGCGCCTCTGTCCTGTGCCCTGGGCTCCCAGTCTGACAGCACTGAGTGGTAAAACCTTGGGAGGAATTTTACCCAATTCACACTCAGCAAACCCTCTCCCCAGGAGAAGGGGGAGATGGGGGAGGAGAAAGGGCCAGGCAGAACCGGACCCTACTCCCTTATAAGTCCCTGTGTGGATGTGAGCTAGGCACTCCCTCTCAGCTTCTGTCTGGAGAGGCGCCCATTCGTTCTGGGGGATGCTCTACCCCATTCAACCTTGCCACTTGGCCAACCACTCCTCTCTGTCTCACGTCTGAATTCTTCCCTGCATGAAGACAAGAGCACCGTGAGCTCTGGGGAAGGATGGCAGATAGCAGGAGGAGGAGATGACAGTGGGGGAAAGCAGGGGGCTACGATCAGGGGCAAGATGGAAATCAGCCCAAGGCAGAGGCAACCGCGCTGAAGCTGTGGCTATTTTGAGGACATTAAAGGGAAAGACAGACAAAACCCCCTCAAAGCTAACTGGAAACAGAAGAGTTGAAAAGAATGAGAGGAGGGCATGGTATGGAGGGGCAGGCAAAGACATCCATTGTGCAGTAATTTATTGTACGGTGTGAGGCGCCAGGCACCACTGCAGCCCGGGAGCAGAGCTGCTGATGACCGACCCTGGCCCTTGAAAGGACATTGTGTCTCGTGTCCAGCTCTCCAGACCTTTGGCCATTGATGATGCGCCTTTTGTGGCATGGGCCATCTAGCAAAGGGCCCACGGTCAAGCTGCTGGTGTGCACCTGCGCTATCTCTGGTCTTCTAGCACCTGGTGCCCTCTGCCCTCGGGGCAGCCTCCCTGCCAAGGCGCTCGTGAAGTTTCACCCCACACCCTCTCCCTGGCCCAGGCACTGCAGGGAATCACCTTGGTTCTGGTGCTGCACTGGATCGCGTCTTCCCCAAATTCCTGCGCCGAAGCCCTGACCCCAGTGTGATGGTGTGTGCAATGGAGGTTAAATGAGGTCCTTAGGGACAGAAGGGAGAGCCCTGATCAGGTGGGAGTGGGGTCCTCTCTCTCTCTCTCTGTCGCTCTCGCTCTCCCTCTGTCTCAGGCTGGGCACCGTGGAAAGGCCAATGAGGACACAGTGAGAAGGCAACAGTCCATGAGCCACTAAAGGGCTAATGTTTCCAGACACTGAGTTAACAACACCTTGATCATGACATGCAGCCTCCAGACTAGGAGAAAATAAATGCCTGTTGTTTAAGCTGCCCAGTTCCTGCTTCTTCGTCATGGCTGCCTGAGCTAAGACAGACACTGCCTGTGGCTGTCCCCAGACAGGCGTCATGCTTGGGCCACTTCTGGGGTTGTGACCAGGACATTCTGACCGAGGACGGGGAATAGGATAAACCTACGTGGAAAGTCTGGGATCCTATCCTAGCCATTCCTGGGTATCAAAGCCAAAAATAAAAAGAAAGGGGGATCTGTGGGGAGCAACTCGGACTAGACTAAGTTACTGGAATTAGGACTTATTCTTTGCATCTGCTTTCCCACAATATGGCGCTGAGAAGGGAAACAGCTTCTACACAGCTGCCTCCAGTTCAACCAATAAACTGTAGGACCTGCTCCTGATTGGAAGAGAGCAGCGTACTCGGCGTGTGGGTAGCAGAGTTGGGATTGGTGGAAGAGGACTATAAAGGAGGAGAGAGACAACATGCACCAGGAACATCTAAGGGGAATACCTGTGCAGCCCCCGAGAGAGCCGGCCAGCAGTGTGCCACTCCCCTGCGGAAGTGGGGAATGTGGCAGGGGGAGCCGCCCCTCCACGGAGGTGGAAGGGACGGTAGCCAACCCGGGAAGAACCAGCAGCAAACCCGGGAAGAGCCGAGCAGACGAAAGAACAGTGCAGGGTCCTGTGTCGTTCCTCCATGAAGGCTCCTTCCTTCCCCTTAAAAGCAACACCAGGCTGGGTTCCCAGGGGCAGCCCCATCACAGAATGATCTGATTTTGCCAAGTGGGTTTCCCTGTTGGACTGAACAGGTCCATTTGGCAAGGGCACTGTTCCCTGAATCACTGGGGTCTCTGGAGACTGTGAAAGTGTTTGGGAACAAGTGTCTCCCTTGTTATTCCAAGTCCTCGCCGCCGAGGGAGAAAAGAACTCTAAGCAGAGACGTAAGTCAGGTGCACAAGTGAGAGCAGGATTTCAACGTGAGAGTGAATGGACCTGCACAGGTGGTGTGGGCCACCTGCCGTGGAGATGCACCTGCCCAAGTGGGCCAGAGAAGGAACAAGGGCCACTCCCACCAGTAGCAGTTGGCTGTGTGAGGCAGGGGCTGGTGCCCTAACTGAACCCACAAATGAGGCAGAGTTTGGGGTTTAGCGTGTGTGGGGAGCATTCTGGGAGCTTCAAGGCTCCTCTACATGGGGCTTCATGTCCTCAAGGCCATGATGGCCCCTCCTGCTTCCCAGTCCTGGATGAGACACAGGTGCATTATGGGAAGGGAGGTGTACTGGATTTACAGGTAAGGGATGGAGTTACAGGGCAAAAAGTGCGAGAAATCCTCCAGCTCATCTATTCCTGCCTAATCCTCCTGTCCATTTCCCCCAGGTGAAAGCGGGCCTTATTGTTCTCACACCTGACTCTGCTCGAGAAAGCTGCAGGCGTGTGGGAGTGACTGAAGGACAGAGAAGCCGGAGGTGCTGCCAAGGGAACTGCCAGTTTTGTGGGAGGGGAGGGGAATGAGAGCCCCAGCCCGCAGGGCAGGGGGAGGAAGGAGGTGAGTGGAGTGCCTCCTTGTCCACCAGGGCCGGCACATCACAGGGCCTGCCTGTGTCCAGCGGCAGCTACTGCTGCATTCTGACTTCCACAGGGTTTGTCCTTACTGCCCACGTGCTATGGAGACAGGAGAATTCACGAGGAAGTGGCCCGTCCTGAACTGTTCCTCACCTGATGTCATCAATAGCTCCGGAACACGCCTCCCCCCAGTGCAGCTCAGACCAGGACCCGGGCAGCACTGGGCCACGTCGACCGAGAGCATTGATAAGCATCTGCTGATGCCCAAGTGGTCGCGGTGATGTCACACACGGCAGTGAAGGCTGCAGAAGTCAGCGACAGTGTCCACGCAACCTATTGTACAAGTACTAACCAGAGGGCACTAACACACACGCACGCGCACACACATAGACTGGTTTTAAGGAATTTGCTCACACACTTACAGGGGCAGGCAGGTCCAAAAAATCTCCAGCAGGCTGCAGAGCCAGGAGAGCCAGTGCATAGCTCCTGTCCCAAGGCCCTCTGAGGGTAGAATCCCCTCCTGCTGGGGGTGGGTCACCCTAGGTTCCACACAGGCTTTCCTCTGATCGTCACGGAGGGTGACCTGCTTTGTTCAAAGTCCACCAGTTTAAATGTCTATCTCACACAACACACCCTAACTGAAACGTCCCAAATTAATATCTTAGCAGATTATCTTGGCACCACGGCCCAGACAAGCTGGCACATAAAACTAATCATCGCTGGTGCCGTGGCTCAATAGACTAATCTTCCACCTTGCGGCGCCAGCACACTGGGTTCTAGTCCCGGTCGGGGCGCTGGATTCTGTCCTGGTTGCCCCTCTTCCAGGCCAGCTCTCTGCTATGGCCCGGGAGTGCAGTGGAGGATGGCCCAGGTCCTTGGGCCCTGCACCCGCATGGAAGACCAGGAGAAGCACCTGGCTCCTGGCTTCGGATCAGCACGATGCCGCGGCGGCCATTGGAGGGTGAACCAATGGCAAAAGGAAGACCTTTCTCTCTGTCTCTCTCTCTCTCACTGTCCACTCTGCCTGTCAAAAATAAAAATAAAAAAATAAAATAAAAAAAAACACTAATCATCATCCTTAACCACGCCGATGTAAAGTGACTCAAGCCAAACCTAACACAAAGCCTAAACCTGAGCGATGCAGGCTCTTTTGTCCATATGGGAGAAAGGGTCACAGAATTTCTTACCACTGGAAATGGGCGCTTGGGCTTCCTCTACTGCCTGCCATCATCACTGGTAATGATACCAAGTAGCAGGCTGTCCAATTGGAGCGGGCCAGGCTGGACTCTAGACTGGCACTAGATGACATCATGGCTGTCGGGACTAAGAGCTGCTGCTCTCCCCGGGACGTTCTCACAGTTCGATAAGCCCAGGACCCTGGGGGACAAGGGTGAGATCAGTATTGCCAGTTGGCCTTACTATGTGGTTGGGAGTTCTGCTGTCAGTAACCTTAACTTTTTTTTACATTAAATATTTACTGGGGCTGGCACTGTAGCGCAGCGGGTTAAAGCCCTGGTCTGAAGCACCAGAATCCCATATGGGTGCCGGTTCTAGTCCCAGCTGCTCCTCTTCCAATCCTGTTCTCTGCTGTGGCCTGGGAAGGCAGTAGAAGATGGCCCAAGTCCTTGGGCCCCTGCACCCGTGAAGGAGACTCGGAAAAAGCTTCTGGCTCCCGGCTTTGGATGGGCGCAGCTCTGGCTGTTGCAGAGTTGAACCAGCAGATGGAAGCTGGGGAGTGAACCAGCAGATGGAAGACCTCTCTCTCTGTCTCTACCTCTCTCTGTAACTCCATCTTTCAAATAAATAAAATAAATTTTAAAAAATAAATATTTATTTATGTGAGAGAGAACACTTGCGCCTGCTGGTTCTCTCCCCTAATGCTCATAGTGGCTGGGGCTGGGTTGGGGACAGGAAATCAATCCAGGTTTCTAACTTTTTGAGCCATCACTGATGACTTTCAGGGTCAGCCTTGGCAGGAAGCTGGATTCAAGAGCAGAGCCAGGAATTGAACCCAGCTACTCTGACATGGGCCGTGGGCATCTTAATCACCGAGCTATAGGCCTGCTGTGGTGCCCTCAATTTTAAATGCTGCAGGAACCAAGGTGAGTGAATTTGTCTTAGCTCTATTGGTCAGACTAACAAGAGTGACTGATGGAGTCAGATACTCATAAGAAAACATGCACTTGGCCAAGCATTTGTGAGGCCAGTGGGGATTTTCGTGTGAGGCCGTCAGTGCACCATCGGCCCTGGTTGTCTCTGGATGCACTTGCTGGGGGTGGCAAGAGTGCACGGACCTGACTGCTCCTTGCTGGACTGTTCGCCAGGGACCATGTGGAACCCTCACCCCACAGACAGCAGGCTTGCTCACTGACTGCTGCGCACGGCCTGTTCCCACCATCAGGGCTCCTTAACCATAACAGGAGCTCACTGCACCCATGGCCCTGAGCCCCTCTACCCCTCTCTTGTGGGACATGTGGATGTCAGGAACCAGTGCAAACCCTCACATCCCTCCTGCACCTTGCTTGGCTGTGAATGAGGACATCCTCTGTCTCCCACCCAGCCTCATGTCTCCTGCCAGCACACAGGAAACTGTAGCAGGCCGACCTGCAAGCTTGTAAAATCCCTGACTTTGGGAAAGGCTAATATCTCTCTCTCTCTCTCTCTCTCTCTCTCTCTCTCTCTCTCTCTCTCTCTCTCTCCTTCCCTCTGTTAGTTTATATGCACATTCTTGGAGGTTATCTTTACAAAGTAATTCTTGTTAACAGAATGTTTAATGGGACTGGAATTGAATCCCAGGTGCAATTAACACAGCCAGAGAAGGATGCGACAGTGGTTGGCACTGTGTCTTCTCTCTTTGGGGTGAGGGTAGGGATGCTTTTACCTGTAGGCAGCATAGAGGTTTCCTGTCCTGCACACACAGCCGCTGTGTGCAGGAGTGTGTACCTGGAGGCTGAGTGGCACTTTACAGGTGCACAGCACACCCGGGGTTGTCACCTCCCAGCTCCCGTGAGTTCTGCTGGCCTCTCAGCCAGCTCCCCAGCAAACATGGAGTTCTCCCCGCAGGCAGGTCTACAGCACACTGTGGAAGCCCCAAGCGGCTGCCCCGTGAGTCCTACAGGTGCTCTGGCCGTTGGCGCCCCAGGGAGATGAAGGCCTGGGGAGCTGCAGCAGCACTTCAGCGTGGGCAGGCGATGTGGGCAGCAGCCCTGGGAGTGGGCATATAGGAGACAGTAAGACAGAGCAGCAGAAATGCTGGAGGAACACCAGGAAGTGGCAGGCTCTTGGCATCATGCTCATCGTGAGATCCAGAGAGGGTTATGTGAAAGAGAGGGGAGGCAGGAACCGGAGGCTGGCAGATGCTAGCAGGCTGGGCGTGAGGCTGCAGCTGACCGCAGCGAAGCCTGGCAGGCCTTGGCCCCATGTGCTGCTCCACACCCGTCTTCTGCACCCTGGGGTTCCCGTGCTCTGGCCATGCCCATCATGCCCCAACGGTGCCACAGCTCTTAAGCTTCTCTCTTTTCTCTGACCCACCCTAGTTCATGCTCTTACCAACTCCGGCTGATTCTCCAAACTTCCACTCCAAGGTCAGCATCGCACTCCTAAAGAGGGGGGAGCTGCTCCCCCACTCCTGCAGCCCTCCCTTGTTGGATCCCTGACTGCTGGGCACGTCTGTGCTCCTTAGAGCCCGCCTGCCACTCGGGGTTCTGCATCTCCGTTCTCCAGGCACTCACTGCACAGCCTGAGCTGAAAGGAGGTCGGTGCGCATGGATGAATCAGGGCCTGGGGGATGCACTGCTCACCCCATCCTGCTCTGATAGGAAGGCATGATCTGGTTGCCATGGTGCTAAGAGACCCTTCCTGACACCTGCTGTGTGCAGGATGAGCAAATTATGTTCAGCTGACCTCACTTGGGCGTCGGGCCCGCAGCTCTACAAAAGCATGCAGGATGGGTGCTGGGCTGACCCTGAGACAGCAAAGCTGCCTCTCCAGCTACAGAGACCTTGCCACCCCTTCTCTCGGGCAGATAAATGGCAGTGTGGCATCAGAGAAGTTCCTCTTTCTGTCCCTGGAAGATGTAAAGGTTCCTCCTTTGTCTGAGTGCCCTCAACTCTCCTGACAGTCTTCACTCCAGCCCCGTCTTTTCCATCTTAAGGTGTCTGCTGCTGCCTTAAGACAGGCGCCCACAAGCGAAAGCCTGGAGGTCGAATTCGGTCCACAGCCTGTTCTGGTAAATAAAGCGTTACTGGGACCCAGTCATACTCGTTCACTGACATATGCCTTGGGAGGGTGATGGTAGAGACAGAGGTTGCGTGACTGCAAAGCTGGAAGTACCGACTGCCTAGTCCTTCATGTAGAAGAGGTTTCTGATCCCCACGCTGGAGAATGAGCCTCATGTAGTGAGAGATGATCCGCAAATAACACAGTCTGTCCATGTGCAGCTCCGCGCTTCCCGCTGTAGTCTCCTCCCGTTCCTGATCTGATCAGATGCCAGGTCTCTTCCCCTGGACCACCGTCCCTGCCTTCAGTCCTGGCCCAGCCCTGGCTGCCACAGGCACCTGGGAATGAACCAGCAGATGGGAGCTCCGTCTGTCTCTTTCTTTCAATCTGCCTCTCTAGCTCTCAAAAAATGCTAATCGCTTCCAAAACCTGTTACTTCTGGAGCACCGCTCCAAAGATTTGTATAATGTGCGCACAGACTAATTACTATGCACTTTGTCTGTAAGAACACTCCCTGTTGGTGGCAGTTGGGCCAGGAGCTCCCTGCTGCGCTGTGCTGATGGGATGGAAAGCCCGTCCTCCCCGTGACTCTGTCTACGGCTCCGGAAGTGGGAGTGGTGACTTCTGACTCCCAGGGTCCATGCTGCGTGCTCTTGCTCGGAGTGACCCCTGGGCACCAGCAGCGTCTGGAGGTTTATGGTGCCCATGTGGGCTGCATTTGTCGCAGACGGTGGCTTAACTGGACACATCACAATGCCGGCCCCTCTTCTTGGCTTCTCAGCCATAGCTTCTGGGAAGACAGGCACACTGTGGAAGTATTGGCTGGACTTGAAAAGAGGCTAGGGCCCCAAGGGTGCCAGTGTTTGCCCCCTGCCGCTCTGTGCTGTCTTGCCGTCCTGGGGGGCTGGGGTCAGGAGGGTCCTCCCCTGGCCTCATCTCGCTCCATGCGCCAGTGGAGGAGGGAGTTGCAGGACAGCTGGGGCCCAGCAGAGCTGAGTGGCGAGAGCAGACTCTCTAGAATGGGGAGAGCATGACAGGAACCACAGAGCCTAGACCGCACAGCTCTTGCTGTATAACATGTGCCCCTTCGGCAGGCATTTTCTAGAGGATAATGTCAAGCAGTAAACAGAGCGGGGGAAGGTGGCATTATGGCATAGTGGGCCAAGCCACCTCCTGTGATGCCGGCATCCCATGACGGAGTGCTGGTTCAAGTTTCAAGTCCCAGCTGCTCTGTTTCTGATCCAGCTCCCTGCTAATGCGCCTGGGAAGACAGAAGAAAATGGCCCAAGTACTGCCACCCATGTGGGATACCTGGATGGAGTTCGGGCTCCTGGCTTCAGCCTGACCCTGCCCTGGGAGTGAACCAGTAGATGGAAGATCGCTTTCTCTCTCTGTCTCTCCCTCTCTCTCTGTAACTCTATCTTTAAAATAAATAAATAAATATTTTTAAAAAACCGATTATTTAAATGTTAATCTCACCAAAAATGCACCTTCACAGCAACATCAAGATGTGTTTGACCACGTATCTGGGGCCTGCGGCCCAGCCACACTGACACCACACCCTATGGCTCCTGCAGAGAGAGGCCCCACGATGCTGGCCCGTACCCTGTCACTTCAGCCTCCACCCCGTTGCCCAGTGAGCCTGAAGACTGGCAACTCAGGAGCCACCTGGAGCTAGCCCTGTGGGGGAACTCAGCCCCAGCATCCTGGGGCCTTGCTCTCCCCTAGACTTCCCACCAGGAGGCTTCTGCGTAGACAAGAGGAAACAGCACTGTGTTGCCCTGCCTGCTCCTCACGTCCCTGTTACCTGCAGACAAACGTGCCTCTGACGGACAGACCACTCGCTGCTTCCTGGCCAGCCAGACTCTCCTGGGTCTGAGCAGCCTTTTTTCTCTTTCCTTAAAAAGAAAAAAAGAAAAAAGGACATATTATTTATTTATGTATTTTAAAGGCAGAGTGGCAGAGAGAGAGACTCAAACTCAGGCCCTCAGACTTGGGCTGTGGGCCTCCCGAGTGGCCTCTTCATCACTGCAGTAATACCCGCTGCAGAATCTCCCCCCTTCTGAGAGAGACACTGGTCCTACTGGACTCGGGGCCCACCCTACTCCAACACCAGCTCACCTTAATGGAATTAATTACATCTGCAAATAAGACCACTCTCTGAGATTGGGGGCGGGGAGCGTGGAGAAACACGGTTCAAATCCTGAGTGCACCCAGCTGGAGTCCTGTGAACCTGGCTGTGGTGCCTGGCTTCTGGGAGGCATCATGGCTTTTGTCTGTCTTTGCCTGTCCTGTCTTCCCAGCTTCAGTAAGCCTCCTCCCTCTGACGCATCCAGAGTACCACTGTTATTTGGTGTCTGGCCCCGCTTCCCTCTGCAGAAGAAAATTACGGAATCTGAGCTGAGAAGGGGCTTGGAGGACTCCCTGGGGTCCCTCTGCAGGGGCAGGGTCCCTTCTGCTTGCAATCTTTGACCCAATGCCGAGTTTTCTGGCACTGAAGGCAGAGCCAGGCTCTAGCTGCATGGCAACCCCGG